AAAAAAAAAAAAAAAAAAAAAAGAAAGAAAAAGAAACACACCTTAAAATAATATTCTACAGCAACAAACTGCCAAGGTTCCACCCACAGCCCTGGGGCTGCCCACCTGCCAGCACTAGCTTTCAAAATACACCGTTAGACCCTAGGAGGATAGATGTGTGTCACCCAGCACATCATAAAAATCACAGATGGACAACACCAGGAGGGAGCCCCAGTCTAAGCTGCAGACTTTGGGTAACACTGACTGACAGTCAGGGCAGTGCAAGTTCACCGATCAAAACCAAGGCACCACTGTGCACAGGAAGACTGCTGTGGGCAGTGCTCACACTCGGGGTGAGAAGTGTGTGGGGATTCTTTGTACGGTTCCATTCTGTTGTGAACCCCAAGTTCTTCTACAGAAAAGGAAAGCTTGGGCTGGCAGGAGGACTCCGTGGTTAAAGCATTTGCTGTTTGAACGCGAAACTGAAGTCAGGGTCCCCAGCACCCACATAAACACTGTGTGGATGTGGCAGCCCACATGTAACTCAAGCCCTCAGAAGGCAGAGAAGGGATCCCTGGGGCAAGCTGGCTAGTGAGACTAGCTAAATTGGTGAGTTCTGGGTTTGACTGAGAGACCCTAACTCCAAGAATAAGGAGAGTTATTGAGAAAGAGTCCTGACTTCAACCTTGAACCTCCACATACACGGGCATATGCATCATGCATCCCCACACATATATGTACACCCACACACATGCATATGAGATTAAAAAAAAAAAACAAAGCTTCCTAATTCTGAAAACAAGCTAACTGCTAGAAAAAGAGACCAGTTCTGAGAAAATGAAGGAAATTACACAGGCATGAGGCTTATTTTTATTTTCACAGTTTTTTATTTTATGTGTATGAATGTTTTCTCTGCAAAACAGAAGAAGGGAAGAGGAAGGCATTGATTCCACTGGAAGATGCGGATGCTGGAAAAGGAATGAACCTTGATCCTCTGCAAGAGCAGCAAGTGCTCTTTCTTCTTTCTTTTTTCCAAGACAGGGTTTCTCTGTGTAGCCCTGGTTTTCCTGAAACTCCTTCTGTAGCCCAGGCTGGCCTCAAACTCAGAGCTGTCTGCCTCTGCCTCCTGAGTGCTGGGGTTAAAGGCATGTGCTACAACAAGTTCTCTACCTCCATCATTCCAGCCCCACAGGCATGGGATTTTTGGAGAAATTGACCAGAGTTCAGTTCTCAGTACTCATATCTGACAGTTCACAACCATTCATAACTCCAGTTCCATGGGATCTGTCAGTGTTCTATTGCTGTGAAGAGACACCATGACCAAGGCAACACTTACAAAAGGAAGCATTTAATTGGGGCTCGCCTACAGTTTCAGAGGTTTAGTCCATTATCATCATGGTGAGAAGCATGGTAGCATGCAGGCAGACATGGTGCTGGAGAAGGAGCTGAAAGTTATACAATTTGATCCACAGGTAGCAGGAAGAGAAAGACACTGGGCCTGGTTTGGGCTTTTGAACTCTCAAAGCCTACCCCAAGTGACACACTTCCTCCAACAAGGCCACACCTATTCCAACAAGGTCACACCTGCTGTGGATGGTCTTCCTATGTGCTGTGAATATGTGTTGCTACCATGCGTTAAAAAAGAAGCTGCTCTGGCCTATTGTAAGACAGGTTAGAGCCAGGCGGGGAAATCAAAGCAAAGATACAGGATGAAGAAGGGTGGAGTCAGAGCAGACTTGCCATCCAACCTCCCAAGGAGTAAGACGCCAGCAGGCCTGTAATGCCATGGCCACATGGCAATATATAGATTAATAGAAATGGGTTAATTTAAGATGTAATAGCTAGCAATAAACCTGAGCTACAGATGAAACAGTTTGTAATTAACATTAAGCCTCTGAATATTTTATGAGCTGCTGCAGGCTGGGCAGACACAGAAAAGTCTTCAGTCTACACACACCTGCTAATCCTTCTCAAGTAGTGCCACACCCCAATAACTAAGAATTCAAATATGCCAGGTGGTGGTGGCGCACCCCTTTAATCCCAGCACTCAGCAGGCAGAAAGAACCAAGCGGATCTCTGTGAGTTTGAGGCCAGCCTGGTCTACAGAGCGAGATCCGGGACCGGTACAAAAGCTACACAGAGAAACCCTGTCTCAAAATACCAAAAAAAAAAAAAAAAAAAAAAACAAAAAAAAAAAAAAAAAAAAAAAGAATTCAAATATATGAGCACATGGGGGGGGCATTCTTTTTCAAATCACCACAAGATCTGACTCCTTCTCTGGCCTCCATAGGCAGTGCATACACATGTACACATACATACACACAGGCAAAACATTCATACACCAAAAATAAAAATAAAATCTTAAAAAAAGAAGGTATTACCAAGTGCAGCCTAAACCTATTCTGATAATCCAAGAAGATCATGAGTTCAAGACTAACCTGGACTACATTGTAAATTCTAAGCTAGCCTGGGCTAGAGTGACATCCTGTCTTTTTTGAGTTTTTGTTTCTTTGTTTGTTTTGGGGGTGGTTTTCGAGACAGGGTTTCTTTGTGTATCCTTGGCTGTCCTGGAACTAGCTCTGTAGACCAGGCTAGACTGAAATTCACAGAGATCCTCCACCTGCCTCTGCTCCCCAAGTGCTGGGATTAAAGAAAGTACGCTGCCACTGCCCAGTGAGATCCTGCTTTTTAAAAAAAAATGCAAACCGGGCAATGGTGGCACACCCCTTTAATCCCAGCACTTGGGAGCCAGAGGCAGGTGGATCTCAGTGAGTTCAAAGCCAGCCTGATCTACAAAGTGAGATCCAGGACAGCCAGGACTGTTACACAGAGAAACTCTTTCTTGAAAAAACCAAAACCAAAAAAAACAAAAAACAAAAACAAACAAACAAACAAAAAAAAAA